CTCAACCTCCTATGGTCCAATGAAAAATGTCCCAGCTTATCCAGCCTTTCTTTATAACTCAGATCTTCCGTACCCATATTTAATACTAACCACTCCCACTACAAGCCAGGATGTTCAACTTTCAAAATTTACCTCCGTACAGATCATGTGCAATGTCCACCCTCTAATTTTTCATTTTCTGTCCTTTATCACTTGATAGAAAAGTGTTTATATAACATTTATATGTACCTCACAGCTACATGATATCTCAAAGCATTTTACAGCCTATGAAACATTGTCACTGTTGTAACTTGAAAACCTCAATAGTTAATTTCGATGAAACAAAGTCCCACAATGATCTTGTAATAAGCGTTTGACATTGAAACACAGAATACAGGCATGTTAGATAGCAATGATTATCAGCTGTGCCTTTGACAGCATGATGGGCGGAGGCTTTCAAATCCTCTAGAATTACACATGTTGAATTTGTTCAAAATTTCTCCCATCTGTGACCATTACTCAACAACAAACTGCATTCCTTCTCTGTTTCTTGAGCGGCAATAGGTGACAGACATCATTAAATGTACTTATTTGAATGTGATTTGCAATGAGTGGCTTGAGAGATGCTTGAATGCTCCAGTTGTGTTTTTAAAGGGTGCTTGGCTGATACCATGGTCCGCACAATCTGTTCTGGACAGCTGGGAGCTATGATTTGATGGCACTTACGATAATACAGGTAATGTAGTGATGACTACTTAGGCATAACCATGTAATTGTTAACAATTTCATGGGATCCATGCAAAATTGTGAAGGATTAGACAGTAATTCCTAAGTAGTCACTGCCATTCCCATTTGTCATCTAATTGGATATTTGTTCAAAGCATATTAAGGCTTTAACATTATGCAAGACCTACTGGGATATAAAGGGATACTTAAGTGGTGACCTGAGTTTAATTAGCTAGAATTCTGAGTAGACAGACTCTGCTTGCAGGAAATAAGCAGTGGCCCAGAGTAAACCAGAAGGCTATAAAATTGAAGACAGCAGTGTGGGAATGTGGCCCAGTAAAATGTGAAGCCATGTGTTAGACTGTGCACAGGCCAGGGAGAGAATTGACAGTGCTGACTGCCAAAAGGCAATAAGCAGGGTTCTGACATTTGTGGTTTGTCCAAATCTAGGAGAGTTATAATGAGCTCTGAGACTAAAATAAGGACAATATTACAGCAGGAGCCACAAAGTAAGATTTGTTATTTCAAGATTAATATAGATTCAGCATAGAAATGGAGCATTATTGCACAACTGTTGTAAGCTTGCTATTGCACTCTACTCAAGTCCTGTTCACATGGAAAATGCATTTCTCCCAACAAGAAATGTTACAATAGTACCCAAAACAAAAACCAACAATGCAATAGTGAATCTTTCAGAAGTTTATAGTACAGAAAGGTTATACCTTTGCCAGCTTTCGGCTTAAGCAATTAGAATTAATTCTTCTGCTCCCCTAACCCATCCTCCGCTCCACATAGCTCTATACCTCCCTGTGTTTCAAATTTGACACGATTTTCTCTTAAACGATATGGTCGTCTCTCTCTCACACACACACCCACTTCCTGTGACAAAGAATTCCTTAATGCAATTGTCTTGTGAAAAGCTTATTCTCATAACCTGTCTCCTCACTCCCTTCCTGACAATGTTAATTTAACCCTGAGGAAGCGTCACTCAACCCAAAATGTTAACTCTGATTTGTCTCCACAGATGCTGCTAGACCTGCTGAGCTTTTCCAGCAATTTCTTCATAACTGAATGCTGATGAAACAGCTCCAGTATTTCTAGTCTCTCCTCAAAATTTCTTATAAATGGGAACTTTCTTATAATTTCCTATTTTCCTAATCCTCAGAAGCTAGGAATACTGTGGCGAATCACCCACCTCCTGAATCCACAAAGCCTGTCCACCATCTACAAGGCACAAGTCAGGAATGCGACAGAATGCTCACCACTTGCCTGGATAAGTGCAGTCCAACAACACTCAAGACGTTTGACGCTGTCCAGGACAGAGCAGCCCGCTTGATTGTCACGACATCCATAAACATCCACTTCCTCTACCAAATAAAAACCAAAAGAACTGCGGATGCTGTAAACGGGAGGGGGATGGAGTAGGGAGTAAACGATAGGATAGAGCCTAAAGAGAGAGGCGAACAGTTGGACAGACAAAGAGTTGATAACAATCAGGCTGGGAGGGTGAATAGTTGTTAATGGGGACTATTAGTGACTAACAACAGGTGGTGTGTAATGGCAGCCTATGTGGTAACAAGGCCCGGTGTGTGGGGTGGCGGGCTGGGACATGGAAGAGTTTAGGCTCTAAAATTATTGAACTCGATATTGAGTCCAGAGGACTGCAGGGTCCCCAAGTGGAAAATGAGGTGTTGTTCTTCCAGCTTGCGTTGAGCTTCGCTGGAACACTGCGGCAAGCCAGAGACAGAGATGTTGGACAGGGAACAGGGTGATGCGTTAAAGTAGCAGGCAACGGGTAGTTCAGGGTCTTTTTGTGAGCAGAACGTAGATGTTCTGCAAAGCATTCACCCAGTCTACACTTCGTTTCCCGAATGTAGAGGAGAGCACATTGTGAGCAGTGATTGCAGTAGACTAGATTCTGGGAAGTGCAGGTGAAGTGCACAGATTCCTGCACTTCCCAGAATCTAGTCTACTACATTCGCTGCTGACAATGTGGTCTCCCCTACATTGGGCAAATGAAGCGTAGACTGGGTGACCGCTTTGCAGAACATCTACATTCTACTCGCAAAAAAGACCCTGAACTACCTGTTGCCTGCCACTTTAACGCATCACCCTGTTCCCTGGCCAACATCTCTGTCTGTGGCTTGCCACAGTGTTCTAGTGAGGTTCAACGCAAGCTGGAAGAACAACACCTCATTTTCCACTTGGGGACCCTGCAGCCCTCCGGACTCAATATCGAGTTCAATAATTTTAGGGCTTAAACTCTCCCATGTCCCAGCCCACCACCCCACACACCGGGCCTTGTTACCACATAGCCTGCCATGACACACTACCTGTTATTAGTCACTAATAGACCCCATTAATAACTATTCACCCTCTCAGCCTGATCATTATCAACTCTTTGTCTGTCCGACTGCTCTTCTCTCCCTTTAGGTTCTATCCTATCGTTTACTCCCTACCCCATCCCCCTCCCTTTTTAATTCATATAAGCTGACATTTTCCCGGCCACCATCAGTTCTGAGGAAGGGTCACCGGACCCGAAACGTTAACTGTTTTTTTCTTCTCAGATGCTGCCAGACCTGCTGAGCTTTTCCAGCAACTTTGTTTTTGTCACTTCCTCTACCATCGAGGTTCAGCAGCAATGTGTACTATGCACCACCGGAATCCAGCTAAGCTCCTTAGAAACCTTCCAAATCCATGACCATTACCATCCAGAAGGACAAAGAAACACTACCACTTGCAAGTTTCTGTCCAAGCCACTCACCATACTGATTTGGAAACCTATTGCCATTCCTTCAGTGTTGCTGGGTCAAAGTCCTGGAACTCCCTTCCTTAAAGTATTGTGGGTCTACCTACAGCGCGTGGACTGCAGTGGTTCAAGAAGGCAGCTCACCACCCACATTCTCAATTAATTTTGTTCAAGGGTATATACCAGATCACAAATATTATGGCAGTTCTCTGTTAATGTCTTTAAGTATATCATTTAATAAGTCTTTATTAAATGTACTCTTTCATGGTATGTGGGTACTGCTGCCAACGTCAACATTTGTTGTCCATCCCTAATTACCATTGAAATAAATTGCTTGCTAAGTCATTTCTGAGGGCAGCTAAAAGTTAACCACATTACTATGGAAAATTGAGGAATGTTTGGCTATGTGGTGTCACAGTACACAACAGAATTTGTGTGCCATACCATCACAATGAAAAATACAGACTGAAAACCCCACTGCCAGTAACTGTATGGTCACAATTGAATGGGTGAGGAAGGGCTGACAGTAGCCTAATGGCAATGTGCAATGAGAAAGAAAGTGGTTTGCAGGCTGCTCACGTGCATTTTGTATCACTGCTAAGAAAAGTCTAGTCATGGATGGTGCACATCCCAGGGAGGCTGAGGGACTTGCAGATGAAAATAAAAGATGAATAGCACACTCAGAAAATTTGTAAAAGTATGATAAATAAATCAACAAACACTTGGTGATTCTCAACTCAAAGGTATATACCTTGACCTTCTCCCCCCTGAGCTGTAACGTTACAAATACCTTGCAGTTCTACAGTGAATGACAGAATACTGTAGTAGTCCCACCGCTATCAAGAACATCAAATCCCAAATGCAGGTACAAATGTACAGTAAGTAGAAATATGCTCGATTTCACTTCTGTAGCAGTAAAGGATTGTAGGATGGAAGACCCTGTGAAGATGTGAAAACATGTAAAAATGACAGTGAAGTCGCCTATATGTCAAATTTAACAAACTAAGTGTGGTTTTTTTTTTGAAAACTGGACAAACCATGTTGATTATTTGCATTGTTCATTAGCACTGTTACTTTTACCATGCTGGGAATTCTATTGGAAAACTGGGAGCAGAGGCCAAGGTGGATTCTGCATTAATTATTGATTCTGTCATCGCTCTGTGCCACTGAGCACCACCCTTTGTGATCTAAAACTATATTGCAGAAATCCCCTCAATATACAGAGCATCACAAGTCAAAACAAACTCAATGCAGATCATAGAAATTCTTTATTTATTGAACCTTTTTTCTTAATCAACCTGTTCAGAGATGTTATTGCACACCTCTGGGGCAGGTGGGACTTGAACTCAGGCTTCTCTGTCCAGGGGTTAGGGACACTACCACTGTTTCACAAGAGGGCCTCAAAGTTTTTTTTTAAATTTCAGTTTTTAAAAAATTCTACCATTTGTTGCAGCAGGATTTGAACTCAGGTTCCTGTAGCATGAGCTGGGTCCCTAGATTACTAGTTGGATGACAATGCCACTAGACCATTGCCTCCCCATTAAAAAGCAGAATGGTTGCTGAAGGGTTGTTAGTTCCTCAGGGGTGGGAATAAGTATTAATGACCTTCATTCATCATTTTCTGCAACTCCACAAGGAGTAACAGGTAAGGGTGTACCTTACTGATGATAACAGACTGTCTCATTTGGGAAATTATGTTGGATGGGGGCCTTTGTGTGGGAGTCATAAAACTTAGGACTGAATTTCATGAGGGAAATTGCCCATGGGCCATTGGAGGTCATCCTGTGCTTTGCACTGGTCCTTTGTATATAAATTAGAATCTATTTACATTCTGAATTTAGTGATAGCTCACATTCTACAGGGATGAAATGAAACCATTTTGCAACCATTGAATAATAGCTGATACCTCGTCTGTCTTGTAATTCTCAGGGCCTGAATTTTAAACAAGGACTTGAGGGGATGGTTTAATATTAATAGACTCATGTTTGTCTGACAACATTATAATATGTTCATGAAAATTCAAAGGAAAAGACAGCATTCAAAAATATTGAATTATTTGCGAATGTGCCATCCAATAATAGTGATGTTGAAAGCATTCTTTGTCCTGCACAAGCTAGCATTATGTGAGAATGTTACATTCAAGGCACACTTAGTTCCAGGGGATTATTATATGTGTTTTTTTTCCAAAATACTAGTTATATACAATTTTGCTAGAAATAGGGGCAAGGCTGGATATATAGTTTTTAATACGTCATCCCGAACAGTACTAGGGTCACGAAAGCAGAGTACAAAGGTGACAGAGTGAAACTAGAAGACAGTGAAAATGTGAGGGAGAGAGAGGAAAGTAAACTCCGTGGTAGATGGTTGTCTTGATAGTTATACTGTTGGGAAGGAACCAAACTATACAGTTTCTATGTAGAGGATTCAGTGAGACATTCCAAACATAATTGCGTATCTTCGTTTAAAGTTTTAGCAAAGATTTGTAGCTCGGGTTGTGGGTGAAGTTGTTGATTTGCTCATTGAGCTGGCTTGTTTTCATTCAGACGTTTCATCACCATGCTAGGTAACATCAGCAGTGAAGCCTTCGATGAAGCGATGTTGTTCTACTCCGCTTGGAATTTGTACTGTCCGGTCCGTTATAGTGAGTACTGTCATTTTCGGTTAGTTTCCTTCCTGTCTGTCCAACGTAATGTTTGTGGCAGTCATTGCATGGTATTTTGTAAACCACGTTGGTTCTGCATGTTGTGGGAATGGGATCTTTAATCCTTGTAAGTGTTTGTCGTAGAGTGGCTGTGGGCTTGTGGGCTACCATGATTCCTAGTGGGCTTAGGAGTCTTGTTGTCAGTTCTAATATGTTCTTGATGTAGGACAATGTGGCCAGTGTTCTCGGGTGTACTGTGTCCTCCTGTTGTCGATTTAGTAGGCATCTGTGGATGAAGATGTGGGGATATCCATTCATAGCGAAGACTTTGTTTAGGTGCTCTTCCTGTTTCCTGCATAGCTCTGGAGTGTTGCAGTGAGTTGTGGCCCGTTCGAATAGTGTCCTAATGCTGTTTTGTTTGTGGACGTTGGTGTGGTTGCTGTGGAAGTTGAGGATTTGGACAGTGTGGGGTGCTTTTCTGTATACTGAGGTTTGGAACTCGCTGTTGGTCATACACTCGACTCTGATGTTCTGAAACAGAAGCTGATTGTTGTTTTCTTCTTCTCTTGTGAATTTTATCCCCGCGAATACGTTGTTGTTGAGGTGCTGGGTGTCTTCTAGTTTGTGCATTTACTAATGACAAATGTGTTGTCTACGTACTGGATCCACAGTTTAGGTTGAATGCCGGGGAGGGTGGTGTGCTCTAGTCTTTGCATGACTGCTTCTGCGATGAGTCCTCAGATGGGTGACCCCATGGATGTGCCATTGATCTGTTTCTATACTTGACCATTAAAGATTAAGTGTATGGTGAGGCACAGTTCTATTAGTTTGAGTATGTTGTCATTGCTGATGGAGCTGCTGGTGTATGTTCTTGCTTCCTCTAGTAATGTGGCTAGTGTTTCTTTGGCTAGTAGGATGTCGATTGATGTGAATAAAGCTGTGATGTCAAAGGATAATCTTGTTGTTGCTGATTTTTATGTTATTGAAGATGTTGAGGAATTCTTGGGTTGAGTGGATGGAATGGGGCGATCTGTCGACTAGGTGTTTCAATCTCTGTTGTCGGCCCTTGGCCAGTTTGTGTGAAAACATGCCCAGTAGGGAAACAATGGGTCTGAGGGGATTGTCTGGTTTGTGCACTTTAGGAAGTCCATAGAAGCAGGGGGTGTTTGTGCCTTCTGGTTTCATTCTCATGTAGTCCGTCTTGGTTATCTGTCCTGCATCCTTTAGTCTCTTCAGTGTCTGGGTGATCCTATTACCGAGCTGCGGTGTTGGGTTTATCACCACCTGTGGTAAGTGTTTGTATCTGCGAGCAATGCCTGTGCTTTCTTAACGTAGTCTGGTTTGTTTATAATGACGGTCATGTGCCCTTTGTCCGCTGGTAGGATTATAATGTTCTTGTCCTTCTTGGGGGTTTATCTAGTGCTTTTTTTCTCTGATGTGTTCAGGGTGTCCCATTTGTTCCTTCTGTGTAGTGTGGGGATTATAGTTTGTCGGATGGCTTGTTGTGTTTCGTCCGTGAGTCTGTTGTCTTTTAATGTAGTCTCCAGAGTGGCCATGAAGTCTGTTCTGTTCGCATCTTTATGGTTATAGTTCAGTCAGCGTAATAGGACAGCTTTCTCAGTTTGTGTGAGTTGTCTGCTGGATAGGTTTCTTATCCATGTGTCCAGTTTGTTGTTGTCCTTGTCTTTGTGGTGGATCAGTTTGGTGAGTTTCTCCTGAAACTTGTGTCTGTTCTTAGTTTTGGTCTTGTGTTGTTGATGGTGATGGCCTGTTCTTAGGTTGTAGTCCACTGCTGGTCCGTAGTGTTTCAAACTGTGATTTTTGGTGCGAAATTTCCCATTTGTACTTGTAGATTCGGCTATGGGCATCATTAATCATTACTGGGCCACAACTTCCACAGCAACCACCCCTACATCCACAAACAAAGCAGCATTAGGACATATCTGCCACGATTCACTGCAACTCTCCAGAACTACGCAGGAAAGAGGAAGAGCATTTATACAAAATTTTCGCTATGTACAGGTATTCCCGCATCTTCATCCGCAGATGCCAACTAAACAGACAACAAGAGGACACAGTATGTCCTAATCCACTGGCCACACTGCCCTACATCAAAAACATATCAGAACTGACAACGAGACTCCTAAGACCACTAGGAACCATGGTAACACACAAGCCCACATCCAATCTACGACAAACACCCACAAGGATTAAAGACCCCATTCCCACAACATGCAGAACCAACATAGTTTACAAAATACCATGCAATGACTGCCACAAACATTACATTGGACAGATAGGAAGGAAACTAGCCATCAGGATACATGATCATCAGCTAGCAGCAAAACGACACAACGAACTTTGCTTAACATCAGTACACTCAGACAATGAAGATAATCAGTTTAACTGGGACAACATAACTATAGTAGCCCAAGCCAAACAGAGACACGGACAGGAATTCCTAGATGCATGGTTCTCCATCCATACTTCAATCAACAAACATATAGAATTGGACCCCATATACAAAACCGTACAGATCAAAACCGGAAATGACACTATTCACCATAACGGACCGGACAGTATAAATTCCAAGCGGAGTAGAACAACATCGCTTCATTGGAGGCTCCACTGATGATGTTACCTAGCACGGTGATGAAATGTCAGAACAAAAACCAGCCAGCTCGGTAAGCAAGTCAACAACCTGCATACCTGCATACCCCACTCCTGAGCACCAAACCATCATCTCCCAAACCATCCACAACCTCATCATCTCAGGTGATCTCCCACCCACGCCCTCCAACCTCATCGTTCCCCAACCTCGCACTGCCCGCTTCTATCTCCTTCCCAAAATCCACAAACCTGAATGCCCTGGTCGACCCATTGTCTCCGCCTGCTCCTGCCCCACCGAAC